ATTACCGACAAGTGTCACGTTTTCCTCGAAGCAGACAGCGCGCTCTCTCTGCCGCTGAAGAACGGCAGGCCGGGATAATTACAGGCGGGCCATCGGCACCGCGTCACTCACTTGTGATACAAAGAAGCCTTCTGCTTCACACGCTCGCAATGGTTTACAGTTAATTTTCCTCACCAGGGGCGGGGCTCACCCCGCCTCATTAAGTGTTTTAATTAAATGCGGCCCGTGTAAAACGTTTTTACATAGAAGTAATTTATATTGAGATTTTCCAATTAGTGTTGGCCATAACAAAGTTATTTTCTGTATCGCACTACAAAGAGAATTCACCAATCCATAACGAGCAGTTTGTACACCTTACAATGTAAATCTCTCAGTTAATAACACCCCCCCCCCCTGCCAACCCGACCGGAGCCCGGAAAAGGAGTCAAAATCCATAGTAGCTATTGTGTTAGACTGCCCGCGAATTTATATATGACAACAAGACCTCAAAGGACTTTCAGAGACCAACTTAATTTGAATGGGGGCCGTAATAATACCGTCACTCACCTCTTTCTCTTTTCTCCTATTATGTGTTTTGTAATGACGTTTACTGACGCCACCTCCGCCCGCACAAACGCCAGTATTGAACCTGCCCATGAGAAATAAAGAATGCACAGCTATCATCATCGCCGTCGTCATAATCATGCATACATCATCCAAACGACAGGTACAACTCACACACACACATAAACACAAAGGCTTTCACTGTAATTAAATTAAATTAAAGAGAGAAAGAGAGAGAGAGAGAAAGCATTTAATTAAACATACTCACAGGGTGACGTCGAAACAGGATGGCACAGTAAACAATACACAAAGTCACGCGCGATTTATGGTTGCACGCAGGTGACACTGAGATTAATTCGAGTTGCGGCAGAGAAACGACACGAGAGGGACAAACTGGCTCAAGAAGGTTGACTGGAAACCGGAGCGACGAGGATTTCGCTCCGACAGACGAGCGGAGAACCGCGAGCTGCGAAGTGCTGAGGGCGCGATTAATGTTCCGAATGGCTTCAGATGAAAACGTCCGGTTCCCCGGAGAGATCTTCCTGTCTTTATGCAGCAATGGTCAAGGCAAGACAAAACAAAGGAACTTTCTGGATATTATTCGTCTGCACGCTCAGCCCACCTGACTCTTCTTACCTCTTCAGTACAAGTTACGCAACCCCTCGGCCCTTTGTCTTCAATCGCCCTCAACTTGCGATCCTCCTAAAAGTGAGGAAGAAACAAAGAAAATTCTAGTTTTGTGGGTTTCTTAAGCTTTGCGTTTTAACTGGGACACGCACAGGTTGCTTTATGGAATTTTTCTTGTCCCAGTCTGTATACGCTCCCGTGTTGCCTCATGGACTGCATTTCGTAACGCACTTCAGTGTTCCTAGATTAAATGCTGAAATAGTTACAAAACATTGCCCTTTGTTAAAAGCTTCTGTTAATTAATAAACTTTATATAAACAACTGAAAAACGAATAGCGTTTATGCACAGTGCGTTTCGGAAGCCAAAGCACAATATTTATATCTCGCAACTAAAAAAGAAAGAGAATTTCTGAATCCCGTGTACCTAAAAAAAAGAAGAATAAGAAGAAATACTCGTCCTGTAAGAATGTGACATTAGTGGCATTAAAGGTGATATGAGGTTTATGTACAAAGCCAGGAGCTGCGACAAGAAGACGCTGACACATACAAGGAGAATCAGGAGGACGACGCATGTCTCTGTAAAAGACTGCTCGAAGACGCCGATTAATCTCGACATGTTTGTCCGTCCTCAGGTAACAACGCCCAACTATGGACAGAACATGGTGTGATCGGCCTGCTGTTATGAACTGTCGGATATTTCATGTGCTTCATGTGAATAAGACTGTTTCGGCTGCGTCATTTTATAAAGATCAGAGTTCGAAAGGAAACGTCAAAGATAAACGGACGAGGACAAACATGGAAGAGTGTAAGAAAGGCGGTGAAATGTAAAACGCAATTAAGACACGAGAGAAACAAGTTCGCCTATCAATGCACCCCCCCCCCGGAGGGGGGGAGGTTAGAATACCCTCTCCTGTTCTCTAGGATAATTAGCTGTTCGGTCCTTTTAAGACGTGGGGTAGTTCTGGGCTAATATCCTACTGGAAAGGATCGGGAGATCCCCAGCGTATCCTGCAATCTGTTTCCCGTCACTTACATCGCCGGAGTTTTGTCTTTCGAAAGCCGGCACCTACAGACGGTTCCGAAACGGAACTTAATCGCAGGCAGCGGCCGCCGCTTTCAGACGCAGCCAACAACGAATAGCAGTCCTTCCGGTGCTGCGATCTGTCGGAAGGATATCAAAAACAAATAATTGCGTTTATCTCACGGAATGATACATTTTCTGGTGGATAATTTCTTTGCGATGGGCTTACAGGCTCCAACGACGTTGTATCTATCGCATGCAACATCAAAATCGAAATCAAGTAGGATCTGATGTACGAAGATGGCTGTCTCCTAGGTTGAAGAGCCGTGAAGTCCGGTAGAAGTTTACCGACGGTTTAGGGGTACTTGCTGCCTCCATCATCAGGGCTATCGCCCTGCAACCCACAAGACAGCCATCTTCAAACTGCAATGCACATTTACACGACAAACTACCACAATCAGAGTGATCGATATTTTCGAATACTTCTTGCGAGAAAGAATTTCGGAAACCTACTCTCTTTCTCTCTCTGCAGCAGTGGAAGAAAATTAAAAATTATGGACATGTAGTAATGCCACTGACATGACGTTCATACCACGTTTAATGAAAAGTCTGTTAATGATTCAGAAGTTATTAGTGACGGGTGTGGCTGTAGACACACGAACATGATATAAAATGAGGAAAGTAGATTAATAAAAGCAAGACGATTCGTAGAGATAAAATTACATAAACAGAGTATTGCAGTTTCTATTAGCTGTGGGGCTGATGAAAGAAAGTCACAACAGGATTATTGAAGTTCGTGAGACATGTTTATAAGTAAACGTCATCGGACAAAATACAGCGAAATTAAGACGCAAGAAACAGTCTCAGTGCTTATTAAAATACCTCTACATGTTTCGACCTTAATAGGTCATATTCATGTAGCTCTCTTTACGTTTCGAACACTTAATAACAACAGCCTGAAGATGATCTGTTAAGGCCGAAACATGTAGAGGTATTTTAATAAGCACTGAGACTGTAGTCGTAAACCTTGCTGTGTAGACGGACTGTGAACCGAAAGATTATTAGAACTTCTTTTCGTTGGGTGAACGAATATCAGCTGGCAGGATACGACGTCTAGTTTCATGACTCACTTGCTGACATGACGCCCAGCTGACCGACGCAGACACCGAAACTACCAGATACTTTATTCTCTTTTGATTTATATTCGTATGATTTTTGATTCTGCATCTGTTCAGCCGAAATATTTCCACGGCTACGAGGGACAGGTAAGACTGTTTCAAAATTTATTACGTCATCACTCGTAAAATCCCTCAGTGAAAGTGTCCGACTGTTTCGTTCTATAATGCTCAAACATCGATTTGGTTTCCCACGTCGCAACGCCGTCTGGGGAGATATTCTCCATAGGAGCCTAATTCGGCGTTCCTCCTTTATGACGAGCGACACTTTCTTTAAACTGAGGCGTGCTACGGCCGATTTAACAAGTTCTTCGTCCCACTCTGAGCGTTTGCTTTGTGTACAGAATACTTCCGACACGTGACCTATGGGGCGAGCGGTAACCAGGTAATTGTTTCCCTCACTAAAAGTCTGGATGACGAATTCGATTGTACTTCTCCGTGCATGACTTGCGTTCTGTGCTGAGGCAGTTAAATCGACGAAGTTAACGATCAACGCTCGCCGTCATCTTGCGGCAACTTCTCCGACACGATCGTAATGCAGGAAGTCTAAACAATGTTCCGAAGGCGGAGCGACAGCCGACATGAGACCGCAGCACGAGGTTCTGTTTGTGTTATCTCTGCTTAGTTATCGTCATGGCACGTCGTGAATAAAATTAACAAATTAAACTTATTTTTTAAACGTTCGGATGACGACAAAAGGAGACAGACCGAACACGATAAGTAGGCTCTCCCTGCATTCGCCCTGTGAACGCGCTTAAAGAGACAAGTTTCTTTACAGAATAATTGCATGAGCTCAGTGACATTGGAAAACTCCGCTAAACCGCTCTGTGGCCCTGTTCATATGGAACATTTTTTTTAAATTTTTTTTTCGAATTTCATGTATCTGGTGTAGCTATATATTAACTAAGTCCTGGGAGCAACAGTGGGTTAACCCACAAAGTTGGAAAATATGAAATGCTGAAAAAGTGTAACCTCAACATCGCTCACTGTTTTTATAAAGACGCAAGCCAAGCCACACTCGGCCGTCATCTTCGAATCCCTGTCTTCATGGACCTTACGAAATGAGAGTGCAACAACCACGTTTAACCTCATCTCCGTGTGTTACTCGCCTGTTGATGCACCTGACCATCAGCGGGACGAAGACTCCCGGTGCAAGTTCCGCTTCGAGCTGCTTCGGCCGAGCATGAATTGAGGAGTTGCAGATTGCCGCAAGTGCGGATCGTCGGGGCCGTGGAATCAAACCGAAATGACGTCATCTCCCGTGAATCCTTCGCGCACGTAAAGTCACGGGGTTCGTTACGAAGCTCAGACATTCTTATCGGAACAGGATCGCGCGGGAGGTGGAGGGAGACTCGGTGGCAAAGTAACAAGGCAGACACCGGGCG